GTGGAAACCCTAGTAGTATTGGGCTTAGCCCATTTGTATATCTTGTATAGGAAACCCTATTACTCTAAATATAGCTATAAATATAGCTTCTTGTATAGCATTTTAATATCAAGTACTCCCTCCGTCCCTTATAACTTTGCCAACTTTCCTTTTTTGGTTGTCCCCAAAACTTTGCCACTTTCCCTTTTAATCAATCAATTTGTGGTTCCTGCTATTTCTCTCTCTTCTGCACAAATCTTTACTACACAATTTTTACTTTATTATTCTACGTGCCGGTCAAACTTGACAATCCTTTTAGGGACGGAGGGAGTATATGAAATACAACAATACTTGTTCACATGGTATCAGAGCCACGTAGGCAAATATAATTAGTTAGTGTTATTATCTGTCAGTCGGCCAGAAATTCCGGGCAGAATCTCTCCGGCCAGAAATTCCGGCGTGAATAGTGGTCGTGGATGTCGTGCTTTCGGTAGTGATATAAACCTACCGTCGTCTTCACCTCAACATCGTGACTTACCGCCGTGCAAATCACCGCCGCCGTCTCATCCACGTGCCGCTGCAGTTCGCATCTGCAGTTGAACGTTTTTGTAGATCTCTGTCTTTCTATTCATTTGCTGTTTACATCACCAACCACCCCAGAATACTGATATTCCGGCGACCAGAATGGTATAGGGCAGCGCCGCCGCCGACCGTCCACGCGCCGCCGCCGAACGTCCACACGCCGCCGGTGCCCAGATCCGGTGTCATCCACACACCGCCGCTCGTCCGTACGCATTGCTTCCGCCGCTGCTTTGTTTCGTCGTTCCCGGACAAAGATTGGTTTTCATACTCCCTGATTTGCTTCTACTGTTCATCTTCCCAGCAGTCCAGCGAAGGTCTTGGTCAACACTCCAGCTGCTGTCTTGGGAAGTTACTGCTCCATTACTTTAAATTTTCTATTATTTTCAAACTGCTGCAAATAATAGCTTTCTCCATGAGTTCTACTGCCTTGAAGCATTGATCCCTTCAGCAGCTTTTTATTCTTGATTTCTCATTTGTTTTGCTAATATTAGCTTTTCACTCTTCAAAAAACAAACAAACAAACAAAAAAAACAGAAAAGTAAAAAAACGGAGAGAGAAAAAAAAAGAAAAAAAATTCAGTAAAAAAATGTCTTTTATGAGTTCTGACAGAGAAAACAACACCGGATGCTCAAGATGGAATCGTCCTCAATGTGATTTTTTTCATAACATTGGTCATACTAAAGACAGGTGTTGGCAATTACATGGGAGACCTCCTCCCTTAGCCCATGTTGCTCAGCTACCACCATCTCCAATTGTTCTATCACCGGAAGAATATGCAGCATTTCAGCAATTTAAGTTGGCTAAAATGCATTTATCCACACACGGGGTGTCTATTGCTTGTGTTTCAAACACAACAGGCTCATGGATCATTGACTCAGGTGCCTCAGACCATATTTCTGGTAATCCCCATCTTTTATCCCATATTACCAAGCACCGACATCTTCCTTTGATTACTCTTGCAAATGGCCTTCAAACTTCGGCTTCGGGTATTGGGCAAGCACTTCCACTTTCATCCTTACCATTAGACTCAGTCTTATATGTCCCAAACACCCTCTTTAACCTTGTCTCTGTCAGTAAAATTACACGTGCTCTTAATTGTTCCGTAACATTTTCTGCTGATTCTGTGATTGTGCAGGACCGTTGTATGGGGAAAACGATTGGCGTCGGCCATGAATCTCAAGGTCTATATCATCTCCATCCTTTTGATCTAATCGTTTGTGTTTCAGTTGAACCTGCTATTACCTTACATAACCGTCTGGGTCATCCTAGTCTCTCAAAGTTTCAACGTATGGTTCCAGGTTTCTCAAATCTTTCATCTTTAGATTGTGAGTCATGTCACCTTGGAAAACAACCTCGTAAATCCTTTCCAAGGTGAGTCAATAAACGGGCTACATCACCGTTTGATTTAGTTCATACAGATGTATGGGGTCCGTATCGAGTCACTTCTACTTTAGGTTTCCGTTATTTTGTTATTTTTGTGGATGATTTTTCTCGTTACACATGGTTGTTTTTAATGAAAGAGCGTTTTGAATTGTTTCATATTTTTCAAACTTTTTGTGCTGAAGTTCAAACTCAGTTTGGTCATTCTATCAAAATTTTACACAGTGACAATGTTAAAGAATTTTTTGGTGCATCCTTTAATCAATTCATGGCATCACGGGGTATGCTTCACCAATCCTCTTGTGTTCACACGCCTCAACAAAATGGGGTTGCTGAATGCAAGAACTGACACTTGGTTTATACTGCTCGTACCCTATTATTACATACCCATACACCACCTTAGTATTGGGCAGATGCTGTGCTGTGTTCACTGTGTGTCATTTAATCAATAGAATGCCTTCCTCAGTTTTTAACAATGAAATTCCCTATTCTATTTTGTTTCCCGCTCATGATTTATTTCCCTTACCACCTCATGTGTTTGGGTGTGTGTGTTTTGTCCATGATACGACACCTGGATTAGCTAAAATGTCGGCTAGGTCAATAAAATGTATCTTTCTTGGATATTCGCGACTCCAAAAGGGATATCGTTGTTATTCTCCATTACTTAAGAAACATTTTATTTCAGCCGATGTCACTTTCATTGAGTCGTCCTTTTATTATCCATTATCTTCAGTTGATACCCCATCATGTTTGGACTTCACCTCATATCTCCGACCCATCCATCTGGAGACTCCCATTAACCCCCCATCTGATGAGAACCCAAATTGCTCTCCTATGGCAGACCGTCCATTACAAGTATACCATCGACGTCCTCGACCTCCTCCCATTGTGCCCATCGTGGCCACACCAATTGAATCCCCTGTGACGGATCCCACACCATCACCATCAGATACCCTAGTACCCGAAATTACTCAGGATGATTTGCCCATTGCTCTCCGAAAAGGTACGCGTTCTACTTCGAATCCACATCCCATATATAACTTTTGGAGTTATCACCGCCTCTTTACCCTTTATTATGCTTTAATTTCCCAACTGCCTCATATATGCATTCCTAAAACCACACATGAGGCACTGGCACACTCGGAATGGCGTAAAGCCATGTTGGCTGAGATGGAGGCTCTTCATTCTAGTGGGACGTGGGACTTAGTCCCCCTTCCTACTGGCAAATCAGTGGTGGGATGTCGGTGGATTTACACAGTTAAAGTTGGGCCCGATGGGGAGATTGATCGTTTTAAAGCACACCTTGTGGCGAAAGGGTATACTCAGATATATGGTTTGGATTACACCGACACTTTTTCTCCTGTAGCGAAGATTGCATCAGTTCGTTTGGTTTTATCCATGTCAGCAATGAGCCACTGGCCATTGTTCCAATTGGATATAAAAAATGCATTCCTTCACGGAGATCTGCACGAGGAAGTTTATATGGAGCAACCACCTGGATTTGTTGTTCAGGGGGAGTCTGGTATGGTGTGCATATTACGTCGTTCATTATATGGCTTGAAGCAATCTCCACGTGCATGGTTTGGGAGGTTTAGTGCCGTTGTCTGCAGCTTTGGCATGATTCGTAGTGACGTCGATCATTCTATATTCTATGGACATTCTGCTGGCAACAAATGTATTTATCTTGTTGTGTATGTTGATGACATTGTCATTACAGGTAACGATGATCAAGGAATTGCGCTCCTCAAGCAACATCTCTTTAGCAAATTTCAAACAAAAAACTTGGGAAAGTTGAGATACTTCCTTGGCATTGAGGTCGCACAGTCTCAAAATGGAATTGCTCTCTCACAAAGAAAGTATGCTTTGGATATTCTTGAGGAAACATGTTTGCTAGATTGCAGGCTAGTGGATACACCAATGGATCCGAACGTTAAACTCTTATCAGAACAAGGAGATCTTTTGCCCAACAAGGAAAAATATAGAAGACTCATCGGCAAATTGAATTATCTTACCATCACGAGACCAAATATTTCATTTGCGGTAAGTGTTCTTAGTCAGTTTCTTGATAAGCCATGTACTGGACATTGGGATGCAGCTATCCGAGTTTTGAGATACATCAAGAAAAATCCGGGGCAAGGATTGTTGTTTGAAGATCGAGGCCACAATGATATTGTGGGATACTGTGATGCAGACTGGGCCGGATGTCCGATGGATAGACGTTCCACTTCGGGATATTGCATCTTGATTGGTGGAAACTTAATTTCATGGAAAAGTAAGAAACAGGATGTTGTTGCCAGATTAGTGCTGAAGCAGAATATCGTGCAACGGCCCTTGCTACATGTGAAATCTTATGGTTGAAGCATCTCCTCCAAGAGTTAAAATATGGAAACACAAAATCGGTTCAACTCATGTGTGATAATTAAGCTGCAATGCCCATCGCATCAAATCCGGTATATCATGAGAGGACAAAACATATTGAAGTTGATTGTCATTTTATCCGAGAGAAGATCGCGAGTGGACATATCATCACAAAATATGTCAACACAACTGAACAACTTGCAGATATTTTAACTAAGTCTCTTAGAAGTCCTAGAGTGGGATATATTTGTAACAAGCTTGGTACATATGATTTATATGCTCCAGCTTGAGGGGGAGTGTTGAAACCCTAGTAGTATTGGGCTTAGCCCATTTGTATATCTTGTATACGAAACCCTAGTACTCTAAATATAGCTATAAATATAGCTTCTTGTATAGCATTTTAATATCAAGTATATGAAATACAGCAATACTTGTTCACAATATGGAAGGGTGCACACACACTAACACACAGAAACAACACAGACCAGTACAGAGTGTACACTGCATTCCAAATAAAATTGCCAAAGCAGAGAGTTCTTAAAACTTGTTACTTGGGACAAAGTATGCATCATTGCTTGATGAAACCAAAGAGATATCTAGTTTTTAATATGTCACACAATATGAGTAGTGTTTTTTTTTTGTTTCTTCCTCGAAGACTATAATTGGACCTTTGACGAGCTTTGTTCTCTTATTGTCTTTAGCGAGGAGTGTATTTTGAGATAACTTACTCAAGTCTTCTTATTGATGCTCAAACAAGGAGGCAGATGATATCTAATGTCAAGGTTGGTGATGCAAGCTGTGTTAATCACAATCCTAAGTTAGAGAAAAGTAACAGAGTTCTCTACAGCATGTACTCACAATACTTGTGTCTTTTCTGATATTAAGTATTCCTTAATTTGAACTTTCAGCTATTGGTCAATTGGACAAGAGGGAGAAATATTATTCTGACAAGTTCTGCTCCTTCTGTATCTGAATTCAGAGGGCCATATGATATAGTGAATCTGTCCTTCCTGTTAGGTCTCTCCTCTGAACATGCTAAAGCAGCCATTTCCAAAAACTGCAGGTAATGAACAATCAACTACTGAGTATTATAAGCTTCCAAATTCCAATTTTACTGCTAGGGGTCATCGGTTTGGAGTGGTGTTACATACTGTCCAGAATCTGATCTTGGTCATCATTATCATCATTACCTCAATGCCGTAAAGGTTCCCACCTACGGTGGGGTAGGGGGGGTCGGATGTACGCAACCTTATCCCTATACTAAAGCACAGAGAGACTGTTTCCGGATAACCCAAAATTTGATCTTGGTAATCCGAGATCACTTCATTTGATTTGTGGCCTACTAAAATATTGGGTAAGTTTCTTTTCCGCCATGCTGACATGGCGGTAATGTCATTGAGAATGTTAGTGTTAAACTCGTTGGGCTTTAGGGTATGCTACATTCAGGCATCTCTTTGTTTTTCTATTATTTCGTAATTTGTACTTCTTTCTGTATTGCTAGTGTTAGTGCCTAGTAAGATCAAAATGAATGAATCGGTTGAATTGACTAAAATTGCTAAAATTGTCGCTGATTTGATTGAATGTGCTTATGAAAAATTGCATCTAAAATAAAATTTTAAGCAATTTCCCTAAATAGCCATAAAACATTCTGGAATTCCTAAACCAGGAGCATTGTGTTTTTATTCTCTAAATAGGGAGTAATTACTGTCATGCTTGGGAAATACCGCCAATATGCAGCATACCTTTGTGTTTAACGTACTCATATTTTGGAATTCTACATTGTTTTTACTCCTGTTCCGGGATTTTTTTCTAAAATTAAAAATAATTATATGGAAGAGGCTAAAATGATCTTCAGTCAATTCAGCCTAAAAACTAAAAAGTACTTGTAACCTTAGTTTTCTCACTATAAACCAACTTAGTTCACACAATCAAGAAAGTAGTCTGGTAAAAAATCTGGTTAGTATGCCAAAAATAAAGTTAGCAAACCACATTAAAATACTGGTAAAAAATCTGGTTAGTATGCCAAAAATAAAGTTAGCAAACCACATTAAATACTATCTGTGTTGCACATAGTATAAGTTAACCTTTAACCAAATAAGTAGTCTCACCACACCTTTATCCACGAAGTTTTCTATTTAATGTTTGTGTCGTTAAGAGTTAAGACATCTCTATATATGGCAGAACTCTTATGGAAAATTCTTTAAGAAAGAAGCTGTATTACAAGGAAGCCATCAAGGTTGAAGCAATACCTTCTGCCCATTCAGTCAGATCCATATTTGATGATTGGCTTAAATGGGACCCAATCTCAAGTGGTGATGGAGATTTGTTACTAGATGACATTGATAAATTATTCTCAGATTCCAGCGATGTATCGCAAATTGTTAAGCCCATAGATTTTACCTCTGCTATGAATGGTCTTCCCACACACGGTCTTGAGATAAGAGATGTGATATCTTCAAGTCACTTAGAACCAAAGCTTCTGGATGATGTTTCACACTTTCCTGCTTATCAGTCAATAGACAATGGAGAGGAAAAAGAAGAGCATATGATTTCTGAAAGAATATCTTCTGACAGTGGAGTGCATGGACTGAATTTGGAAAGTGACCTATCTAAATCTGAAGGACAAGAAACCTTATTACCAGATAACACAACAACCATTTCCAATTCGTTAGTGGATGCTGTTATATCTTCACAGCACTCTGATCTCACCTCTGCTAAAATTTATGTTCCAGCACCACTCCCACTTGAGAAATCTGATACCTTAAATACTTCACATGCTGAAGAGTCTCCGATCCCAGGTATTCTTGATTCTGGTCTTCATCCACGAAGTGCTGCTGTTGATGAAATTGTGAAGGACATGAAGGACCTCAGTGAGAAGGAACCGTCTTTGGTGTGTGATAATGTGGATACACTAGATGATTTCGTTGAGACAGAAGAAATTAGGGATAATTCTGTAAATCCAGTTAATGAATTGCCTATGCCTAATTCTAATAATAATCCCATGCAAAACAAGAATGAGTGTAAAGCTGCTGAAACTGAACTAATGGAAGCTGTACAAATCCGGACGCCATCTCCTTCAGGTATATCAATCCTTCAATCATGACAAGATAAAATTGAAGTTATTATAAAAGTGGTTCTTTTTGAAGTGTTTTTATTTACCATATTTTTTACCCTGAAACATCTAAATTAATATTCCAGTGTATACATGTAGGGAGAAAAGGCCACAAGAAGGCGCTGCTCCGTCCTTTTTTATTTCCTTTCAAACGGATGGTGAGGCATAGATATCTCAACAGGAGGAAGGCCAGCCGTAGGTTTGATTAGTTTTGATTTATTACTAAGTTCAATTGTAAAAAGTAATTTGTTGAGGATGTTATTTGTAATTAGTGATATTTACTTTTGAAGCTTAATCTGTAAAGAAAGGATAGTGAAAACTCTGTATGCCACCATTTTGATGCAAGGTGAAAACTGACATAAATATGAGAACTTGTATTTTACTCCCCACAGACCATTGTTAACTCAAATCCCCTCATAATTCGCTCAAGTCATATTTTTACCGAGCATTGGTTCATGTTTGGTATTTTTTTGGAGTCAAAATCAGGGAATTTAAGCCCGCCATCGACATTTGAGAAGCAATTCGGAATTTCGGATGAGTCGAGACGCATTTGAGAGTGAATTGAGAGCTTTGGAGGTCAATGAAAGATTTACGATGAAGATTTAATGACAAAAGAGCTTTAGGAATGATCACGAGATCGAATGAGAGCCTTTAGAGCAACAAACCGCAGAAAATGACGAAGAAAAGGCCACACAGGCCGTGCCTGCCAGGGAGGCACGCCGTGCGTGCGTGGCAGAAAGGTCAAAAATGAAGGAAAAAGCCGGGCACGCCTTGCTCGAAAGCTGGGAAACGGAAGACCCTACTGGAGGTTCGGCACACTGTGCGTGCCAAGGGAGGGACGACGAGACGCGCAAGTGCTATGTAGGCACGGACGCCGGGCACGCCATGCCTGGGAATCGTGCCTGCTCCAGAAAGTCCTAATCAAGCCTGAATTTCCCCCGTTTCCCATAAATAAAGCCCCTAAACCCCTGTTTGAGGGTTATAGAGCTTAGAGAGAGGCCTAGGACAAGATTTTACGTATTTTTCCGCTTTGTTCTTCAAGTTCTGGTTGTGGGAGACCAACTTCTGAAAAATTTATTCTGATTGTGCTTCAGTTTTAAAAAGATGCAGAAGCAGAATCATTTCAAAACACTCCCTTAACTAGGGATTTGGGATTGATGATGGAGTTAGTTATGATGTAGGGTTAATTTCATGAATGTTAATTTAATTTGTGTTTGAATGATTTAATTGATATCTCTTGTAACATAGAACTGCAGCTAGGATTATAATTGCACATAGAATAAATTAATAGAGATTTAATTTATTCTAGGACACTTTCACACACACTTGATCGTTTGCTAAGAGATTAGTAACGGTTAACTTAGGATCTTGTCGAATGAGAGATTAACCCGGTTCCCTAAATTATTGTACCCTACGTCGCGAGAGCGGTTAGAACTTAGTATTGACTAGCGTTGCTTAATTAAATTAGTTTCATGTGATTAAGCCTGATCAGCCAGAAATTTGATTACCCTGGAATCAATCCATGTTCCCTTCGTCGTTAATCAGAGAAAATCAATCTATTTTTATTCGTTTGTCTGCATTTTAATCACCCGATTTCTGAGGATGTGCCAAACTTTCTCTTTCTCACCAAGGGATGATGCGTAAAGATGGTTGGACAACAATCCACATCACCATCTCCAAACTTGGGATCAGCTGCACAATGTCTTCATCAAAGAATATTTCCTGACATCTAAGGCATTGAAGTTGAAGAAGCAGCTTCAAGAGTTCAAGCAAGGATCACTAGAGACTTTAGCTGAAGCTTAGAAGAGGTTCAAGGTGGTGAGAAGGTCTTGTCCTCAAGGCAAGATGATCAATTATGAGATCATATCCTTCTTCTACAGTGACATTAATAATGAAGGGAAGTTGATTCTGGATGCCTCTGCCAATGGAGTTTTTCCCGATCTGCCATCTGATGATGTCAAAACACTAGTGGAGACTTTAGGTGAAGCAACTTTTCACCGAATAAACCCCATTGTTTTCGCCTTTCCACTAGTAGCCGTCCATTCTATTACCTGCAGTGATGGGTATGCTCAAAATTCTTCTTTTATCTTCTTCATTAAATAGTGCTCCTATTATCTCTACATTCCACTTCTTCCCAGTAGCATCTCTCAAGACAACAACATTCATGTCCCGCACCCCTTGCGGTTTTGATGAAGTTATCCTACCATCATCCTTCCCTGGTAGCCACGCGTCCGCCCATTGCACATCTATACGATTCCCAACTCGTCTCCTTATGTTCCTCTTCAACAGATCCTGAGTCTCAAAAATACTTCTCCACACAAAGGAAGAGTTATTTCCCAACTTAGCATTAAGAAAGTTAGAGTTAGGAAAATACTTTGCTTTTAAAATTCTCCCCATGAGGCTACCTTTATCATTGATCAACCGCCACCCCTGTTTAGCTAACATGGCTAAATTGAACTCCCTTAACTGCCTGAATCCCCGTTCACCCGCCTCTTTTGGTTTACACAAATTCTTCCAGCTTCTCCACCTCATGCCTTTCTGATCCATCTTCGAACCTCTCCACCAGAACCCATTCATCAATTTTTCAATCTCATCACATAATTCCTTGGGCAATAGAAAAACATTCATGGCGTAAGATGGCATTGCCTGGACCACGTTTTTTAGCAACACCGCCTGCCCAGCCCTAGAAAGAAAACGGTTATTCCAGCTCTTGATTCTGCTATGAATCCGATTCTTCAAATAACTCAAAATAGCTTCCTTATTCCTCCCAACAAATGCCGACAATATCAAATACTGTAGACTTTTGTCTACACTGCAAAACCCTCAGCTTTTGTCTGCACATATCTCTAGTCTGCTCAGTCGTATTAGGGCTGAAATAAACTGTAGACTTAGCAAAATTCACCACCTGCCCAGATATTTCTTCATAATAGTTTAACATTTTTTTTATATTATCACACTCGGCTGGATTGGCTTTAAAGAACAAGAAACTATCGTCTGCGAAAATAGGTGTGATACCTTTGGAGCCCCTCTGCACACAGCCACCCCATGAACATCTCCTCTGCTTTCCGCCCTCCTTAGTAACGAACTTAGGCCTTCGGCCACAAGTATAAATAAATAGGGAGATAGTGGGTCCCATTGTCTCAATCCTCTACCCGGAACAACCAACCCTAGTGCTCCCTTCTCGAATTGGACATGATAGCTAACTGTATTGATACACTCAATTATGAGACCAATCCAACGAGCTTCAAACCCCATTCTTCCCATAACTTTCTCCAAAAAACTCCAGCTCACTCTATCATAAGCTTTACTCATGTCAAGTTTGAGTGCCACAAACCCCTCTTTATCCCCTTGTTTTCTCTTCAGACAGTGCTTAGTTTCAAATGTTACCACAATGTTATCCACTATCGACCTTCCTGGAATAAATGCGCTCTGGTTTTCTCCTATCAATCCTCCCAATAAACCTTTCATACGATTAGCCAGAACTTTAGAGAACATTTTATATACTACATTACATAAAGCAATCGGTCTCCGGTCCCCCATATTCTCAGGCATCTCCTTCTTTGGGTTCAGCACAATATTGGTAACATTTACTCCCTCCGTCCCGTTGGAATGTTCCCACTTTCCTTTTTTGGATGTCCCGTTGGAAAGTTCCCATTTCCCTAAATGGAAAGTTATCCTATATCAAAACAGGGTCAAACAGTGCAAAACAGTGTCAAACAATGTCGAAACAGTGCCAAACAATGTCGAAACAGTGTCAAAATAGTAAAATTTACCCCTTGATAAGTTTATTTCCTTAATATGTGTGTAGGTCAAACCGGGAACATTCCAACGGGACAGAGGGAGTATATCTCTAGGAATTCTCCCACTATCAAAAATACCTCTACACATATCTACTACCTCCGGCCCCACAATGTCCCAAATGTTTTGGAAAAAGGCCGGATTCATCCCATCCTTACCTGGAGCCTTCTCCGGATGCATACTAAATGCGGCTTCCTTTACTTCCTCCATCGTGATCTGTCGTAAAAGTCTGCCGTTCTGCAAGGAGCTCACCATTCCCAGTGGACCGAGAATCTCCTCCCCATCTGACCGAGGTAGCTCTGTAAATAATCCAGCAAAATAATTGTACACCATACCCCCTTACCTCCTCCCCGCCCGTCGCCCAGCTTCCGTCCGGTCTCCGTAACCCCTGCATTTTATTTTTCCTCCTGTGTGCCTTAACCGCATTATGAAAGAATCGGGAATTAATATCCCCTTCTCTCAGCCAGAATTCCTTTGCCCTCTACCTCCAGTACTGGTTTTCCTTCTCCAACAACGAATTCAGGACCAACCTAGTGCGGATATACTCAGTAACATTAGCCGCATCCTCCATTCATTTTAACCACGCCATTCGTTTTTGCATGTTTGTATTTGATGGCAAAAACCCTTAGTTATGCTGCCATCCCATTTCGCTAATTCTTTTCCACAGAAGAATAGTCGATCACCCACCGTCATCTGTTCTCTTGCCCTCCAACTGTTTGCTACTATCATATCATTCTGCATTCCTCCTCCTTCAGTCAGTTGTTCTCAAATCGGAACCTCTTCTCCGTCTTATTGTGGAAAGTAGACTTTATGCGAATGACCAATGCCATATGGTCACTTGTGGAGGCTTCCACCGAGTTAGCTCTTGCTTCCCTGAAATTATCCCACCAAGAATCATTGACAAGAATTCGGTCAAGCTTTTCCTCAACCCAATTTGGAGTTCCCTTCCCCCGTTCCCATGTCCATTGGTATCCGTCAAACGGGAAGTCTCGCAATCCACACGCTGTCACTGCTCCCCTGAACCCATTCAACCGCCACGGTGGGTGCGGTATTTGCCCTTTCTTCTCCGACATATACATGATATCATTCATATCTCCCATGACCAACCACGGAATAGAATTGTTCGCTGCCAGCCTTTGCAGCAGATTCCACTCCACCCTCCTTCTCGCCGTCTCCGGGTATGCGTAATAGCCCGTGAACATCCACATTAAACCGCCTTCCATGCTACAGACCTGGCAATCAACGAAATTAGCGTTCGATTCCATCACCGTAACATCACAATCTTCATTCCATCCCAGAATAATTCCTCCTCCTTGCCCTTCTGCATCTGTACCTTCGCTGTTAATATACCCTAGCGACCGGAGTATATCCTTCGCCCTTCTGCAGCGTAATTTCGTCTCCATGAGAAATATGATCGATGGTCTGTTCCTCTGCACCAGATCTGATAAGCACTACACCGACGGTGGGTTTCCCAAGCCTCTACAATTCCATGCCAATATGCTCATAGCTCCGATCAACACCAGAATCCGCAGAACTAACCACCAGGAATTTTGGTCTCGGCGCCGTACTCCTACGAGCGGAGCACCACCGGAA